TACAGCTGAGCCTGTTCGTATGCTATCTCAGAACCAATTTGTTTTTGTTTGTTGGACATTTCAAGAACAACTGCCATCAGTGCGCCTGTGCAAATGTTTGTGTAACTCTTGCACAGGCATACCGTTACGTTAAGGCCACAACATTGCTCGGTTATGTTTAGGAAAATGTGATAGTTTGGGTTAAAAGAACTGCAGAAATGGCTTACTTAAGTACAAAAAACAGCTAAGAAATAAGTTAACTTTGACTTTAAAATTAACAAGGATCGCCAACAGCTGTCACATTAGTGAAAGTCCTGATTTTGGACCTGTCCGCACTGCTTTATACTGTGCCACCATTCCTGGCTCATGATTACGTTGGTGAATTGATGTATTAAATCTTAATGCATTACTTTTCGTTAGTATAACTGAGGAATTGCCTCACCAACTGGAGGTATGAAATATCAAAGACATGGGCAATTTCAAGGTATGGACGATGAAATGACAATGTATTACTGGTGTCATGGGAAATGTAGGATCGAGTGTTTTAGAACATTTGAACCCATACTGGGGACAAACATCTGGATATTTCAGCCTTCAAAGCTAAACACCTCAGAAACCTAAATAAAGAACATTTGAATTGCAACAGCAGTGCATACTGTACTGTTTGTATCTTACACACACCCCCACAGTTTCTCCCACACTCCTCCTGCTTGGCGATCACATATAAAGTTACACAAACAAGCGCAAAACTGTGTGCAAAACTGTGCCAACACCCCTTAATCTGCCCTCCAAGAAAAAGTAGGACATGTCAACATCTGCAGGCGGTGACCTAGGGTAAGTCATGTTAAGATGTTACATACGTGCAGCCACTCATCCAAGAGAGAGGAAGAGAGCGTTAGGCTCTGCAGGAAAACAGCATATGGAGGCAACATCTCCATATGTGCCGGTCAACACGAGGTGAAGCTGCGTGAGGAGTAAACAAGCGGCGCTCAGGCACATGAAAGCAGCCACAGTGTAAATAAGTGGGGCGGTGAGGCCCAGAGGTGAGGGGGAGGGGGGGGGAAGCAGCTATCACCGAGGTGCCCTTTAGCAACACAGGAAACGCTGTGGCAGCTGTGAAGGAGCCGCTCCGTGTTGACGACAGAGAAAGATGCAATGAGGGAAAAAACACTAGGTGTGAATGTGAGGAAGAGAAATATATCCTTATGCTTAAAAAAAAGCACTTTTCTATTATACTTTAATTAAGATGATACCTGAAGGAAGTTTGTTTATTTTCATGGTACAACTTTATTTGTATTGTTTGTTAAGCATGTTTTTATTGAGACAAGAGGGAGAAATACACATATAAGACATGTATAGTCTGCTGAGAACTTGATATCAAAAAGTGTGTAAAATATGTCATTAAATATCTTTGAAGGTACCAAAATAGTTTTCATTTAATTCATTTTAAGCCGGGCCGGCTAAAATGATTGGTCGTGCTTTTTACAGCGCTACGGCTTCCACAGATGAATTTTTTGTATGTGTTTTTGTCAAAGCATTTCATATATTCATTGCTATCGGGATGTTAAGAGCATTCCGTGGAATATAACAAAAAGTGTTAGTGAAATAAATTACATACCCCACCTTTAAGTAAATGTATGGGTAAATTATTAAGAAACACGTGCATAAATGATTAGTAGAGTGCAAAATGGTCGTTTAGTGAGTGTTAAATTACTAATGCTAAACATATTAATGTACTGTACTGTAATTTTAATATTGCAGCATGGGGAGCTTATTAAAACAGCTTTATATTTTTAGTGTTGGCTAGGTTAATATTTCATGAAATTATATGTTTTAATGTCAATTCTTTATCTTTGGAAGAACTACCTACATTCTTCAATCAGATGTGAAGTAAAGAGCATTCCATTTGACTGTATTCTCTAAATCATGCAATATTAACACAATCCAATGTAAATGTACTTCCCGCCCCTGCTGACAGGTCCTGCCCGAGAGCAACAAGGAATAACAAAACATCTCCTTATGCAGCGCCTGCTAATGTGTTTCCCTGAGAGCCGCTGGAGCTTCATTAAAGCTTTATTGTTCCATACAGCGCCACGGACATACAGAGAGAAGCTGCATGAAGAGACAGGTGCGAGCACATGTGATTTATGTGTTTCCTCTAAAGGAGGTCACAAGCTCGAATATTGACACAATAACTGAAGTCCATAATTATTGGTATAAGGGGAAAAAACTGTGATGCCCTGAAAAAACCAACACAAATGTAAGAAGGATTAAGGACCATTTTGATTTCTGTGTAGAACATAATAGTACATTTGGACAGTGCTGGAAAGTAACTTAGTACAATATAAATCTACTTAAACTTTATTAGTTGTTATTACATTGTTTTATTTACATTACTTTATAGTTTCTGCCTCGTCATTTTAGTGGGTGGAAATTATACACAAATAAAACAGAATCATAACACTTTTTTTTCCTGCATTTACTTTTCACTTAAAGTATACTGATAATACTCCAGTTCTTTTACTTAAGGATATCTAATGCAGGACTTTTCTGCGTAATTAATCATGTCTGATTAAGTGTTTTTACAGTGTGATATTAGTACTTGTACTATGCAGAGGTGGGAGAAGTACTCGGATATTGTACTTGTAGTAAAAGTAGAAGTACCAGAGTCTAGGAATACTCTGTTACAAATAAAAGTCCTGCAATCAAAATGTACAAAAGTATTAGCATCAAAATATATTTAAATTACCAAAGGTAGTCATTGTGCAGATTGGTCCATTTCAGAACAATATATATGATATGTTTTATAATGATTGATCATGAAAGTGTTCTCAAAGCTGGTAAAGGTGCAGCTAGTTTGAATGACTTTGTATACTACAGGGTAGCTTGTGAATTTACTCATGTGGAACTAATGTCTGATTTAACACTTCATTATATTTCACATCATTCATCCAAATCTTTAAAGTAACTAAAGGTATTAAATACATGTAGTGGAGTAAAAAAATACAATTAATCTCTGAACTTAAGTACACTTGAGTAAATCTATTAAACACCACTAGTACTGTTTAGTCTTGCAATACTTCTCCCACTGAATGTCCCCTTCATCGACAGTGCTAAACTCTGACTTGTGTTCAAGTGAACAACATGCAGCCTCTTCTCTGCGCTCTCATGTCAATGCAGACGTTCGAGCTCCAGCTGACAGACATTTGAACTGCTGAGCAGCAGCAATCATTTTAATACAACAAACTCACATGATCCATTTGACATTATACAAAAGAAGGTACTGTATTCCCTTACAATTACATTAAAAAATACATCAGATTTCTGCTTCATTTGATTTTAAATGGGGATTTCTTGCAGGATTATAATGTTAAAATATATTTAAAAATACAAATCTATATTATATTTTTGACATACTGACCGAATGTCCTTTTACAGATTTCATTTAGGCTATTTTATATTTGAAATGCAGTAAGTGTACACCTGATTTATTAAACAAAAGTAGTGTTTGCGTTCAATTCATGTCTTAAACCAAAAGAGCATTTGTAAACTATACTATTCTTGTCTATATATATATTTTTTTACATGTAACTAGTTGTGCAGGAATGTTTTTAAAGTCACCTTCCCAACCTTGACTGTAATACATTTACAACTTCAAACACATACAAATGAATATTGCTATGTCAAATAAAGAGGTTGTACATTTGCTCAAACCCTACACAGTATGCCTTCAATTATTTTTTGAAGAAGAAAATAAGTCAAAATGTACAACGACTAGTCAATCTAGAGACTTAAAGTATATTTGGAAAGGCCTTTGATACATTTCTACATCAGCTGGTCTCTTCCTTTAAAACCCATTGTGTTGCTTTAAGGCATGACAACAGGAAGTGCAGTGTTCTGCTCGCTCAGCGGTCAACCTGACTGCCCTCCCCCGGCCACTAGAGGAGCGTCATGAGAAGATCATCTTTCTGTCAAACAGGATGCACTACTATTACAGATTTAAATAACTCCATTTATTTACTTGAACAATTCAATTGGATATGGTTATTGATGTTTTGAAGAAAAAATAACTGGATATCATCCTCTGCTGTAAATAAAAGTAATAGGATCAGATTGCACACTAAATACCTCCCCTTCCTTTCGACCAATGGGATTTGATGTCACATGTGAATAAATGTCGCCACAAAGCACCAGCCGAGTTCAGTTTTCTGAAAAGTACTTCTTTTATTAATATTTTACAATCCTTTATTCATGGTTATGTCATTATTTACTTTTTCAGCGCCACTTTGCAAGTGTCATTATTCCATGCTGTCTGACGACGGCAATAACAACAACAACGACGACAACAAAAAAAACAAAAAAACAAAAACAAAGGAGAGGTTTGAAGAATGAGAGTCTATACAACACTTTTGTCAAGGGGCAAGAGAGAGATTCACATTTCGTCTCTCGGATTGACCTCTCATCCATTCCGCTTGTCAAAAACAATAAAGAAGTAAAAAAAAAAGAGACGTTAAAAGCAGTCAGTCGAGTGAATAAGTGTCGAGTTGTCTGTCTGGCTATAAAACCCTCACACTGCTCTTGAGAAATTTCCGATCTCCAAAAAAAAAAGGATCAGGGGTCCTCGTTCTCCTCTGGCTTTTAAAAAGCTTTCTCCATGTCTGAAAAAATAATATACTACGAATAATCCGACAAAATATAAACATGGCCTCTCTCCCAGGCGCTGCTCCAAACATTGGAGAGTAATATTTGCATTTTTTTGTTGTTTTTTCTTAAAAAGCCTTTGAGTGAAATATTACTGGCATGTCAAAAGAGAGGAGATTTCAAAAAATTTAAATTTTGGGGAAGATCTATGTAGTCTTGTTGCTGTGCTGTATCAACGGAGCTGGCTGGCAGGATTTACATTTTCCTCGTAGATGATCTATCAAATAACTTCGCTGAGACAATAAAGAAATATCTTAGGGCTGGCATGAGAGGCGAAGAGGCAAGATGGGATCGTTTG